TCCAGGCAGAAGTTGGCAGCGGCAGAATAACTCTCTCCCTTCTGCCTGCAGCTGGATCGAGCGCCGCGGTGCAGCCTTCAGGCGTGATGCCCCACTTGCCCCCCGGCTTTCTGGCCACGCAGAAACGGTGGTTCAGGACACACTGACTCCAAGTCAGCAAAACCCTTCTGCCCGAGAGCCCCCCTAGTGCAGCAGGGAGAGGTGAAGCCCCGTCAGCTGGCGCGAATCCCTTTTGTTATAGACTTTAATCCTTCGTAAAACTCTTCCACGGAAAACATTTCGGTAGCTACAGGGCTGAGTGGTTTGCTTCATTGCGTGTGAAACTAGTGTCTCTGGCCGTGATGAGCCCGCGCGGCCCCAGGGCGTCCGCAGCGCTCAGGGTCCCTCTGTGCAGCCGCATTTCTCGTGAAGCTTCTCACCTGCCCGTCGGCGTCTGTGTGTCCCCCCCGGACGATTCCCCACCCCTTGGTTACGACAAAGTCTGTAGCCCACAGCTTCCTTGGTTTGTTTGGTTTGGTTTTTTGGTTTTTTTTTTCTCCTTTCTTTCTTTTAAGCCATCCTGTGCTGCTGCCTGTTTGCTCCATCCTCGAAGAGCGTCCGTCCGCTCCGTGCTGGCCCCTGCCCGCACGCACGTTGGCACCGCGCCCCGGCCGGGACCGGAGCCAATTTCAGGAGGTGGGGGGGTGTGTGTGGATTTCTCCTCTCCCGTCTTGGCTTCTCCCTCGCAGCCCTTTAGGCACGTGAAAGGGGAGGAGAAAACGTAAAGAAATGCAGCGCAGGAGAGGGTTTGGAGCGGAGGGCAAACGGGCTGGCTGTGGGCATCGGTCAGCCTCCCCGGGGAGGGCGGCAGGAGAGCCGGCTTGTGGCAGGGCAGAGGGGGCACAGGGCACGCGAGGGCCTGCAGTGGTGCATCCCTCCCTCTCTTTTTTTCCTACATTACTAGTCCCAGAAGTTTCTGCTGCTTTTTGTGGGGGGAATTCCAGCTCCCTGCAGCTCTGTTGCAGAGTCCGGAGCACGGCTGATGGCATTCTCTGCCTTAAAAAAAGCTGTTTTACACAGCTGCCGGCTGTGGGAAGCTGGGAAACAGGGTGCACCTGCAGCACAGCTCGCGCACCCAAAGCAAGAGCTGCCGCAGTGTGTGCCGCTGAGGGCCGGGCACGGCGTGGCATGCCCTGCAAGCGCAGGCAGATGTTAAGGCAGAAGCAGTTTCCCTGCCTGAACGGCCTCGGTTGAGGATCTCGAGGGGCTGCACTGCAACCAGCCCCGCTGGGATGCTCGGGGCACCGTTGGCTGGGTTAGCGTCAGTTTGCATCCTTCACCTGGCCGATCCGGCAAATTTTGGCTGTAACAAACCGGGGGAGCTCCAGCAAGCGAAGGAGCAGCGGGGGGGGGGGTGCAGGACCCGTCTCCTGTCAGGGCGAGAGGGCAAAGCCTGGCTGGGACTGGGGCATTGGGCACAGCGGGGGGGCCAGCAGCTCCCTGGCCCCTGCAGCACGTCTGTAGCCGGCTGTGCCCGGGACAGTGTGTTGTCACCATGCGTCACCGTCAGTGTCTGGACACCCATGGCGTTTTAGAAGAACACGTTGCTCTGCCTTCTCCCCCTTTCCTTTTTCTTTTGCTCATTTTATTGCTGCAGTGCAGGAGCTCGTCTCTGATATTTGCCGAACCATGGCTTGCTGACCTCTCTCTCTCTCTCTGTTTATGTCTGTGCCTTTCCCTGTATGTTCTGTAGAGGATGTAGCAAATTTAACAGCCAGTGATGTGATGAATCGGGTAAACCTGGGATATTTGCAAGGTAATTCCCTTTCCCTGGGAGTCCCGCGTGACTCACGGCGTGCAGCGTACAACAAGATCATGCAGCTAAGCCCAATCCACACCCTTGCCGGTTTTCACCTTAGATACCCGAGCCTTTCAAGCACTAATTTGTTGGGTGGCGTTGGAAAACAAAAGACCGTGCTGCGACCGTGGTGCAAATGCAGGGCTCTGTAAGGTCATGGAGATAAAAACCTAAGGGACCCTTTTCTAGCTGAATTCTTACAGGGAAATCACAGCCCTGTTGTTAAAAAAACCAAACCTCCCTCCTTTGCTTTGCAAGTTGGTTTTGGTCTGTAAAGCCAGTGGCAACTCGAGGAGGGGATTTGCAGGAGGCCGAGCGCAGCGGAGCTGCTGGTGTGTGCTGCAAGGTCATGCTGGAGCTCCTGCACCAGCCCCTTCGCCTCTTAGCTGCACGTGGGTCAGCCGCAGCTCAGGGGCAAGGCAGCACTTGGAAAGCCCTTGGCAGTCCTTGGTTGGTGTTACCGGACAGCTCTCCAGCGTTAGCAGACCCTGTTTTCTAACCGGGGAGGTGCTGGGCTCGGCGCGAGGCAGCAGCAGTAGCAGCCGCAAGTGCCGCCCGTGCTGCAGATGCCCAGGGGCACCTTGTTGGCGTCTGCGGGAGCTGCAGGGTTATTGCACCATTTACACCTTTACGCAGGGGTGTAAAGTGCGCTGGAAAGGCCCCTTTTTAACTGCAGCAGCCTAGAGATTAGCAATAGCCCGACCTAGCTGTATTTTAGGCTTCACTAGCCCACACTTAAGGTGAAAAGTTGGCATTTTCCTATGAACTGTGTCCTTCATCAGAGAAGCAGCCCCAGCTGGGGCTCATGGAAGCCCCACGCCAGCAGAGTATATTGCCAACTGGCCGGCGGGTGCTGGGCAGAGCTCAGACCCCAACTGGTATGAGTGAGAGCCCGTGTCCTGCCGCAGAGGGGCCCAGCACCATCAATTCACTCCCTGCTAAGCCAGGAGACCCCACGGGTGAACACCCGATGTAGTGGCATCGCTGCCGGGGGCTGCGTGGGGGTGGGAGCTGGAGCTCAGCGCTGGCTCCCCCCCACACCCCCAAAAAAATTGCTGGAGGGTGCTGCTGGGCTGAGCCCTGCCGCTGTGCCGCAGGGGACGATATGGCAATATACTTGGTGGGTTTAGCAGTGCCTGGCTCGGCTGCATGGGGGTCAGGAAAAGGTGCTTCCATGGAACAGGGAAACCTGCCGCGAGCCAGGGCCCTTCCCCGCCTCCCCCCATCATGGCAAACCCCCGTGTCTCCCGTCGGGTCCCAGGGTCTGTGTGCCACCCGCGCCCCAGCATTGCCACCCCCTGTCCCCGCCTCGCTGTAAGGCTGAGCACTGGGATGGCCAAAGCTCTCCAGCACCTTGAAGGACCGGCTGGGGGCTG